CCCCGGCATCGCCCCGCCCACCAATCCCGGCCGGGCCCGAAGGGTTGGCGTCGCCCCGCCTCTCTCCGCCCCCGCCCCACCCACGAATCCCTGTCTGGTCCAGAGGACTTACGCCGCTCCGCCCCTCCCCTTCGCCCACCAATCCCAGCCAAGCCCGGAGGGCGGACGTCGCCCCGCCCACCGGCGCCCCGCTCCTCACCCCGCAAGGGACAAGGTTGGGCGGGGCGTTGGAGCTGGCGTTCCCCGGGAAGCAGAAGCCGGGAGGAAGGGTCCGGGAAACCTTTGGGCTGGATGCTGGGTTCGCGCAGTGCTTAACGGTTTGCTCCCGGTGGGCTAGGACCTGGTGCTTCTACGGCGGAGTTTGAGGAGTCGCCTTCAGTACAGCTCTGAAATCCAACATTGGGGAGCCCACACTCCACACCCTGGGTTCCTAGGCTTGGGGGATCCCACGACGCTTTGCCCCCTCCCCTGGCCCCCCCACCAGCTGCGCTTCCCATCGCGTCCCTGTCCCAGTAGACTCCGAAGAATGGACGTTCTGCTGGTCACACGTATTCCAATTTGATGTCACTCTGAAACTTGATTTGCAAAATATTCTTAGCAAATTCTTGGTAGCGCCGTGACCAAGAGTAGAAATATTTGAGTATTTCAGTCCCATGATCCTAGGAATTAATGAAGAAAGTAGTCTCGCTCCCCTGTTATGAGCGTCTTTGACTGTGTTTCTCTTTTCAATCCTTACAACAATCCTTGGAGGTAAAATTATTAACCCCAGGTATGTTAACTTTTCCCAGAGTAGTCCTAAAATAATTTGTCGAAACCACTCCCACATTGTTTAAGGAGTGATTGCTTTGGGGTTATTTTTTTAAAAAACAGTTTTAATAGTTGCAAGGGATGTAATTTTCCATATACTGTAAGTATACTAAAATTCGTTTTCCTTCAAATTTCTATTTCCATTCCACATTTCTCACAGAATTTTGTTAAATGTGGAATTTCTTTTTGGTTTTTTTGAGTTGGAGTCTCACTGTCGCCCAGACTGGAGTGCAGTGGCACGCTCCCGGCCACCGCAGATGGGCTCCAGTGATCCTTCCGCCTCAGCCTTCCAAGTAGCCCGGCTAGTT